AAACGGCCCGGACCATCAAATTTTTGTGAGGATGTCTCTGCTCCGACTTCCCTCGGCCGGAGTTAGCTTCTATCACAACAGCACCCCGTTCAGCAAGCTGTTCGGGGAAAAATGAGGAGGAGGAGGAGGAGGAGGAGGAGGAGGAGGCCTCTTGGGCGCCTCTTGGGGCACTCTTGGGACATCCTGGGAGCTTCCTGGGGCTCTCTTGGAGGGTTTTGGGGGCCTTTGGGGGCTTCTCGGGGGCCTCCTTGGCCGTCTTAGGGCGTTCCTGGCTTGTCTGACGCCGTCGGAAGCCGTCTTGGGGGCCTGTCTGGGTCGTCTTGGGTCCCTCTTGGGGCATATCAGGGGTTCTTAGACGCCATGTTGGGCGTCTTGGAGGCCTCTTGGGCCGTTTGGGGGCCCTCTTGGGGCTGTCTTGGGGGCCTTTTGGGCCGTCATGGGGCCATTTGGGAGACGTCGTCGGCGATCTTGGGGGCCCCTTGGGCCGCCTTGAGCCGTCGGAATGCCACGAAGAAGCAAATGCCACGATCCTTCAAAAACCTTAGGACAATCAATGATTTTGGCTTCTTTGTGCCCTCCTGGGAGACCACCTGGACGCCTTTTGGCTCGTCTTGGAGGCCTCTTGGGGGCCTCTTGGGCCGTCTTGGGCCATCTTGAGGCCATCTCAGGCCGTCTTGGGTGCATCGTGGGCCGTCTTGGAGGCATGTTGGGTCCATCTTGTCTTAGTGGCCATTTTGGCCGTCTTGGAAACCTCTTGGGACCGTCGTGGGGGCGTCTTGGGCCGTCATGGGGCCGTCTTGGAGGCGTCGTGGGCGATCTTGGGGGCCTCTTGGGCCGTCTAGAGCCGTCGCAATGCCGAAAAGAAGCAAATGCCACAATCCTTCAGAAATCCTAGGGCAATCAATGATTTTGGCCTCTCCGGGCCCTCCTGGAGGACCTCTTGGATGCCTCTTGGGCCGTCTTGGAGGCCTCTTGGGGGCTCTTGGGCAGTCTGAGGCCATCTGGAGGCCATCTCAGGCCGTCTTGGGTGCATTTGGGCCGTCTTGGAGGCATCTTGGGGCCGTCTTAGCCGTCTTGTAGGCCATCTTGGGCGTCTTGGAGGCCTCGTGGGCCTTCTTGGGGCCCGCTTCGGGGCATCTTGGGGGCCTCGTGGGCCGTCATGGGGCCATCTTGGAGACCTTTTGGGCGATCTTGGGGACCTCTTGGGCCGTCGGAAGGCCGAATTGGCGAAAATGCCAAAATCCTTCAAAAACCTAAGGGAAATCAATGGTTTTGGCTTCTTCGGGCCTTCCTGGAGGACCTCTCGGAGGCCTCTTGTGCTGTCTTAGAGACCTCTTAGGGGGCTCTTGGGCCGTCTTGGGCCATCTTGAGGCGATCTTAGGCCGTTTTGGGTGCATCTTGGGCCGTCTTGGAGGCATCTTGGGGCCATCTTAGCCGTCTTGGAGGCCATGTTGGCCATCTTGGAGGCGTCTTGGAGGCCATCTTGGGCCGTCGTGGAGCAGTCTGGAGCAGGAAAAACCCTTTGCAACCGGCTCCGGGGCCGGCGGGACGGGCCGAAGCCCCAGGGGGAGTTCTGTTGGAAAAAGAACCAAAACCGAAAAAGTTCAGCACGCCAGGCACCCCTGCGATGAATCGACAGGGGGCGGCGGATCGAAGACGCCTACGGCGATTCACCGCCGCCCCCTGCCTTTTTGGAAGCGCCTATGTGGCCGAACGTTGAGGCCAGACCTGCAAAGCTATCGGACCATGTGTTCCCCGAATCGGTTTGGAAAGCCTTCGGGGAACACGTGGGCATCTTGAAGGTCATCTTGGCCGTCTGGAGGCCATTTTGACTCTTTCGTGCTCCATGCGAGGGCTCGGGGCATTATTGGAAGGGCCATCTTCAGCGTTCGTGGAGGCTAATTGGGCCGTCTGTGAGGGCCTCTTGGGGCCGTCTGGGCCACTTGGCGATCTTGGGCGCATCTTTGGGGGGACAATCTTCAAAAAAAGCTATCGGGAATTCAATGATTGTCCGTTTCGGGGGGCCGAATGGGGTCATTCTCATTGTCCCTGCGACTGGGTGCGTGGCGGAATAGGGATTAGTGGTTGAGAATTCTGCTTGTTTGCGTTATTGTGCTGTTGTTGCTGCTGTTGCTGTTGCTGTGCTGTTGCTGTTGCTGTTGCTGTGACTTGTTGCCTGTTGTTGGTTATGTTGTGTGGTGTGGTGGCGTGGGGTGGTGGTGTTGTTGTTGTGTGTTTTGTGGTGTTGTTGTTGTTGTTGTTGAACATTATTAATTCTAAAGAATAATTATTGTTGGGCCCCCTGGTGCACGCCCCCCCCCGCCGCGCCTAGGCCGCAGCTACATTTTCATCATTTTCGTGAGGAAGCCTCAGGTAATTCGATGTGATCAAGATCCGGTTGTTTTGTTCCCCCCCGCTTTCCCTTGCAAAAAACACTCACAAATCCTGGCGCTTGCACTCGCCTCGCACGGCCCTGGGGGGGGGAGGAGGAAGCCTCCCCCAGGAGCGGAGGGTGCGGACCCGACCCATCTGCCCCGCAGCGCGCGGCCTCTCCGAGGCCAAGCGGGCAGACGCCGGTCGGGCCCGTGGGGGAGCACCACCCCCCCCCACACCCCCAGGGCGGGTAGGGCGGGCCAACGACAGCTCGTGGTCACTATGGACCAGAAGAGAGGGCCCCATTGGGCACGTGAACGCAGCAGGCCGCGATGGGCCGCAACGAAGCCACTATGGGCCGCAAGGAAGCCACTATGGGCCGAGCGAAGCCCCCAGAGGGCGGAGGGCCGAAACCCGACACACGGCACGGTATTTATATCCCGCCCCAGTGCCAGGCGGAGGAAGCACGGCACGGCACTGCACCACACGACGCGAGTGGAGGCGGAAGAGGGTCGACCAGCGCGCGGCCGACCAGCCGAGCGAGGGCGCCCCCGCGGCCAGCCGCGGGGTCGTTCACAGCGCGGGCGGATTTGTGCCAAGCAATAACTTCGTTATTCCGACCCCACAACTCCTGGCGCTTGCACTCGCCTCGCACGGCCCTGGGGGGGGGGGAGGAGGAAGCCTCCCCCAGGAGCGGAGGGTGCGGACCCGACCCATCTGCCCCGCAGCGCGCGGCCTCTCCGAGGCCAAGCGGGCAGACGCCGGTCGGGCCCGTGGGGGAGCACCACCCACTGCAACGGCGCTCACGCGGGCCACGCCCGGCGGAAGTCTTCTTCTTTTTTTTTTACCTTATTTTTTTTTTTCTTTTTGTCTCCCATTCCTTCTACCCTTTTTGCACACACCTGCCCCGAGTCCGCCGGGGGTGCGCCCATAGGGTGGTGCCGTGCAAGACACGACCAACAGACTGCGCGGGCGTGCTAGCCATCGCCAATAGCCGCGGACGCACCTATGACAAATGGGCTTCCGCAGATACCCCGCCACTGACCCAGCTCACGGTGCCGGTGAGAGCTTAAGGTATTTCATCCACGCGGGCTGATGACAGCCGCCCGCGCGAAGAAGGTCGGTGACCGGTCCGCCCCTGGCAGCGATGTCCTGCGCGTGCCCGCGCCTGAACGCGTGAGTGCCGAATGATTCCGCGTCGTGGCGCCCCATGTCGCCCAGCGCGCGGCGCAGCCGAGCACGTGCCGCGCCTGGGGACCACGCAGCCCAGATGGGCTGATGAGCTGGCTCGCCAACTAGCCAGGCCCCAAGAACGTGTACGGGACAGGTGACCGCTCACTCGTCGCACCAGCACTGCCGTGCCATTCCCATCAGCAGACATCGCGCTCTCGCGGTTTTCTTACCCACGAGAGATGTGTCAGGCTAGCGATTCTCTTTGCATCGCCGACACGGAGAACCGCGACGGAGGTGCCACCCGCAAGTGCCGCGCCGCGCCATCTTCAAACCCGCCACGCGGGCAGGGCCTACACGAGGGTAGCCGATAGGAGGAAATGCGTAGGCCGCCACGGGCAAAACCTGGCTGAACGCGCGACCACTCGCTCACTCTTCCGCACCGCGCAGGCGCGACACGAGACGGCGACCCCGTCCGCCGGCCCTGAGATGTCCCATGCGAGGCCTTTCGCCCACCACCCCGACCACCGCCTTCCGATATGGCGTTCTTAGCGGCGCGAACCGCCGGGTGCCTGAAGACTTCCACGGGCCTTGCGCGCCAACTGCCGCCGCGGGCGGACGCGCGCGTGGCCGGAAGATGAGAGGCGGGCGCGCGCCGGCATGCCACGAGGCACGCCTTCTTCACGTAAGTCACATAATTGCTGAAGGTCCCGGCGCACCTGAAGGTCGTAGACCACAGAAGCAGCCCCTCCAGGGTGGGCGGCAGTTCCTTCCCCCGTCGCTTTAAGACGCCCCTTGCGAATGTAACCCAGCTCTCGAACCCGCTGCTGAGCGCGGGCAATGAGCGCGGGCATCGCGCACACCAGGATTCCCCAGCCCCCCCCCAACTGCAGCGCCCCCCCTCTTATTTTCCTTCCTTCCCCCCCGCTCTTTCGACATCCCTTTTATCTCAACCCGGGCCCTGCGCGCCCACGCTTTACCGGCCGCCGGGAGGTGATGAGGGCTCTGGCCCGAGCAGCTTCGGCCCGCGGCCCGCGCATGTCACGCCGACCCTCGCGCCCAGCGACTGAGAGCGCCCACCGGACCGCGGACACGGGGTCCTCCGGGGGAGCTGCATGCGCCCTGCCGCTGTCCTGGCGCCCGCGTTTAGCGCTGCGAGCGACATGCCGCAATTTCGCGCGCGCACCGTGGAGGATGACGAGACGGATTCGCTCGAGGGCGACCGCGTCGCGATGTCGGTCCTGCGACGGCCGACAAGGGGGGGGCCCGCGACGAACGCGGAACGCGCAAGCATACCTGGGGGCAATCCCGGGCGACGGGGCGGGCGCAGGAGAAGCGCCCGCGCTGCCCCTGCCCAGCGCGGCTGGCGCGCCGCCGCGCTGGGCTGCCGCGATAGCCGCGCGGACCACCTCGCGGGCGTCGCAAGATAATGCCGCGGCGCCCCTGAAGTCTGCCAGGGTGACGCCAACCAAATCGCTCACGGCGTCGGCGCCGTTAACGGCAAGCAGCTCGGCAGCGGCGAACACAGGAAGAGGGCGTGCCTCAGGGCAAACCGCGCGAAGCTGAGCGAGCAATCCAGCCAGCGCCATCGCGCGAACACCGATGACATTCTCCAGGTGCGCCGACAAACCAGAGATGCCCTCGCGCGCCCACCGGCGAAGCGCGACCGCGACGTGCGCGAGGGAGGACGCCAACCCCTGCCCGACCTGGCGGGCGCACCCTGACCGATGAGTGAAGGCCAGATCCATTGCACGCACGCCCAGCGCCCGAGCCGGTCATGGCCGGCGATGAGGAAGCCACGCGCTCGGATCGAACCAGGCATCGTCCAGCACCGGAGGACTCCACTCCGCCCCCAAGCGATACAGCAGGGAATATGACTCGCGCGACGGCAGGTCGGCGATGTTGTCCACCGACGCCACACGCTGAACGTGCAGATTGCATTTCGCATCCAGCGCCATGCGCCAGATTGAGTGGACCAGGCAATTGTGGTCAAACTGCTTCGCCGCACCGGACCGGACGGCCCACTCGCTGCCTGAATTTTCCGAAAAGATGTTCACGCATCGGCCCGACAGGAGCGGCTCAAAGGTGGCCAGGCCCAGCGCGATGCTGAGCACCTCCAGACCGCCGATTTGATTGTCACGCCTTTCCCTGAAGAGCCGAAGCAGTGGCTCAGGCGGGGCGACATCGGTGAAGACAATGCGCCCGTCAATGAAAAGAACCGCGGCCACTCTAGCTGGATTCCCCCGCGCGTCGGAGAGCAATTGGACAGACCTGGTGTCTGGCGCCTGCCACTCCCGCGTCGTGGTGAAATTTCTGGCGAGCGCTTCGTGCCACCATTGCTGGCAGACTCGCAGGTGCGCCGGGATACTAGGATGGCGCGCCCTTGCGTGCTCAAACAACGGCGGGAGCAGCGCGCGCCCGAACCGCCCGAAGGTGTGGGAGGCAGCCCAACAGAAGCGGCCTGCCTACTTGGACGCGCGCCCGCGCTCGAGCGCGCCCTCTTGAAGAGCAGCAGCGATCTCGGCGCGCCACCGGGCGCGCTTCTCCGGCAGCGGCCAGCACACGAGGCCACGCTCGTCAATCGCCACAGACAAGCCCAGGACCCCGAGCGGATTGCCGACCAGCAGCTTACCGTCGGCCACAGCGCTCGGGCCCAGAATGATTCTTACCAGTTCGGCGAACTGTCGCATTGCGTCGCGCAGCCCTTTCTTACGTTCGGGGCAGAAGAAGTCGTCCACATAACTGAGGACGGGGACGAAAATGAGCCTGCGGCCCAGCGCTGACAGCATCGCGCCGATGCGCTCCCAGCTGTGAACGGAGGAAGTCGCTCCGAATGGGGCGGCGAAGTGCTGGGCCACGTAGACGCATGTGCCCACGAGGAACGCGACCCATGCGAAGGCGCGAGGTTCCGGCAACAGCGGCAAGCGCCGGAACGCGGCGTCTATGTCCGCCTTCCAGAGCCCGGGCGCTTCGCCCACGCGCGTCACAAATGCCTTGCAAGTGCCAAACAGAGCGTCGATGGCTTCATGGCCGAGACGCTCCGTCGGCTGCGACGCCGCGTTGATACGAGAGCGCGACATATCATCTACGAGCCGCAGCTTCTCGGACCCGTCCTCTCTCGACTGCCGGACGCCGAACCGCGGCGACAAAACCGCACCGTCGAGCTCGACCGCGCTGAGCGGCGCGGGATGGCTCATTCGGCCGAGCTCCGCTTCGGCGATAGTTTTGGTGAGAATCACGGCGGAGTCGCTAGACTCCTTGAGCGTGCCGAGCAGCGCGGCGTTGCCTCGCTCCGCGCCCGCGGCCAAGTCCGGCAGGCTGAGCGGTACAGGGAAAGATTCCGGACGCCCGTTCCCCGTGCACGGGAGAGGGCCCACGAGAGGCGCGCCGCGCCGAAAGACTTCCACGCAGGCCGCGTCCTCGTAACCGATTTCGTCGAGCAGTTCGACGAGAAGAGGGCCGTTGATCGACCCTGCGATTGTGCGCACATGGGCATCGCAGCCCGCGAACCAGGCCGCCGTCGCTCCAGAGGCGCGTAGCTCGGCGTCCCTGGCCCGAATTCGCTCGAGAGTCGCTCGCCGCTCACGGCACACCTGCCGCTCCGAGCGCGCAGCAATCCAATCGATCGCCGCCAAAACATCGCCGGGCACCACCACGGCCTTTTCAAAGGCCTCTTTGTCCTCGAAGGAGTGAGAACGGGAGAGGACCTCTTCAAGAAAGGCGAGCTTAGGCGCTTCCTCAGCAGACGCAGGCGACGGCAGGTGACAGCAGCCGGCAGTGGCCAGCGCGCAACCGCGTGCATTGCAACTCGAGGCAGCATTCTGCCGGGCGCGCGAGCCCGCGAGCGTCGCGCGCCACAACGCGCAGCGCCTGATAATCCCATGTGGCAGCGATACTGGGCCCCATCGCATCCTGCGCTTTGCGAGCGCGAGCGCTCGAGCCTGCCGGGGGCGTTCGCGCGCCTCCTGGCCCAGCGGGCGGGCGGCCCTCGCGTCGCGAACGGACCGCGAGTGTTGACTGGCACCCAAGCCCTGGACGACGCGGCAACAACGCGGCGCCCACCTGCCAGCGCGCGCGCGCGCGCCTGCGGGTCCCACGGGACGGTGGCTGAGGTTGGCGCCCATTCGTTGTTATTCAAATGCCAACGTGGCGCGCGATGCACGTCCTCATCGGCGCGCGTCCCGCACATCGCCGCGCGCCGCGGGCTGCGCGTGCCTCCGGCGGGCGTCAGGCGCGCGGCTTCTTCAGAGGAGAATACACCGTTCGCGAATCCCAGGAGCGCTTGTTGTAATCCCCGCGATAGGATCGGGACTGCCACCCGTCGGCTCTGGAATCGCGGTCGTTCTTCCAGGAAGTGACGGCGGCGCCCCCCGCGGCTCCCACGGCGCCCGCGGCGCTCGCGGCGCTCGCACTCTGCCCGCGCGCTGCCGCGGCGCTTTTCCCAGCACCCTTGCCGGCCGGCGCGGCAACCTGCGCGGCAGCGGTGGCGCAACGCGAACAAGGGATTCGGCGACGCGGCCTTAAGAGCCCGATCGTATTCCGCTTCCGCCGCGCGGAGCAGCCCGACGTCAAGCGACAGCGCCGCAACGTTCACCTGCGCGCCGACGCGCGCCCGAGAATACCGCGCCGAAGCATGGCGCGGAGCTGCGGCCTGGAAGCCTGCCGCGCCGGCGGCGGCACGCTCGGCCCACGTCCTCCGCACAAGGCGGTCGTAGACCAAGGCAACCTGGGCCTTCCGTCCCTGCAGGGGGGCATCCAGTGCAACCTGTGCAAGCGCGCCCACTTCGGCGACCAGCGGACGGGCGCCAATGTCGACTCGCCTGGAGAACAACGTGTTTGTGAGCCATGGCGCTCGTGTACGAAATCTGTCAGTGACCGCGGCCGCCACGCTCCACGCGTCGTAAGCTTGGTGCCATGGCGTCCACGCCAGAAGCGGCTGGCTCTCCGCCGCGGTTCCCCGTCCGAACGCTCTGGCCAACGCGGCCGCCTCTTTCGACTCGGGCTCGTCATCGTCGGGAGAGCCGCCCGCGCCGCGCGCGCAAAGCGGCTGGAACTTCGCGAGCTCAGTATAAATGAACGGGCGCGCGATTCCCCTGGATTTCGCGCGCTGCACCTCGGTGGCCAGCGCATCGGTCTTCGCTGACCTGAGCGAACGATGGAAACGCGCCAGCGCGCCGGGGCGAAGCCGCGCGGCCGCCTCGGCCACAGGGACTCCGGAAGGTCCCTCAAGCTGATCTGGGCCAGGCCAGCGCCGATGTCGACATGCTCTCCCTTCGGCGGGAGCCCAGGATTCTGCAGCAACCGAACCGAGACGACCCGCCGAAGCCGGCGCGGGCCCCGCGGCACCCGGCGAACTCGCCTTGGCTGCCGCCACCGTCGCGCGATCCTGAGCGCGCCGCAGGACGCCCTTCGTCAGCGCCGTCGCGCCATCGGCATCCTTCAAATCGCCGAATTGAAGATTGGCCAATTCTTCTGGCATCGTCAGCCCATTGGCTGCCAGGCAATCAATGGCGCCCTTGAACTGGATATCAGTCCACTTCGCGCCACAACAGGGTCAGACTGCAAGAAGGCAAGCATCGCCATCGCAATCACAGCGCCACGGGGCACGAGCGAGAACCACGCCAGCTGAAGCCCGCTCGCTTGCATGCCAGCGCGCCATGGTGACGAATGGGAGCGTGCCAACGACAGCACGTGGTCACAATGGACCAGAAGAGAGGGCCCCATTGGGCACGTGAACGCAGCAGGCCGCTATGGGCCGCAACGAAGCCACTATGGGCCGCAAGGAAGCCACTATGGGCCGAGAGAAGCCCCCAGAGGGCGGAGGGCCGAAACCCGACACACGGCACGGTATTTATATCCCGCCCCAGTGCCAGGCGGAGGAAGCACGGCACGGCACTGCACCACACGACGCGAGCGGGAGGCGGAAGAGGGTCGACCTGCGCGCGGCCGACCAGCCGAGCGAGGGCGCCCCCGCGGCCAGCCGCGGGGTCGTTCACAGCGCGGGCGGATTTGTGCCAAGCAATAACTTCGTTATTCCGACCCGAAAACGCGAAAAGGCATTTGCGCCAAAGTGGCGCAGCGAGTGGGCTCGCTCATCGCCTTGGGGGGGGTCGATAATGGCATTCTCCAAAGACCACCGCTCGCCCTGCGCGCGGCGCCCCCCTGCCCGCGGCCACCGAGCGGCGCCCAGCTGACCCGCGGGCGAGGGAAAGGCAATCTCGCAGAAGCCGGCGCGGCCCATATACTTTGTCAGGGCATCCGTCCGTTCTCTGGCGCGCTCGAAGGATCGCCGCGTCCGCGGCCGCGCGCCAGTCCTTGGGCGGCCCGGCGCTCGCGCCGCGCAGGTGGTCGCGCAAGCACCCGCTGTCTCGCCAAGGGCCGTCGAGGAGCTGCGAGAGGCCGCGGCCGGGGCCGCCCTGTCCCTCGGACCAGGCGTCGCCAGCTGGGCGCCGCATCTCCTTCCAAACCTTCGCTCGGCACGTGCGCCCGCAGCGCTCCCCGCGCCGCGCGCTCCCCCGACCGGCCCCGATCCTCGACCCAACTCTACTCCGCTCTGCTATTGTTTACTCGACTCTGCTCTTTTTTTACCCAAGTTTACCATGCGCTCAACCCTGCA